TCGTCTTGGCACCTACACGTCACTCACCCTTTATACCAGTTGTACTGTACCAAGTAGCAGGAAATTATGCAGGAAACTGTTGAACGAGTTGATTAAATGAACTTATAATTACAGATAACTTTTAATTACACACAACTCATGACCACATACACAATACACACAGACCGACCTCTACTGTATAGCTCACTCACCCGGTCAGGGGAATAAAAAGAAATTATTAGAACACAACTCGAGGTCGATCACTGAAGCTCCTCTTCTAAACCCCAAATTCCGACTTTAATCTGTTAAACCATTAATCTGAGTTAAATCCCTGTGAATAATAATCATGGAGGAGGTTGCTAACGCCTAAAGACAATTTACTTCATAGGAAGAATATTAAAGTCTTTAAAAAATAATTTCTTACATCTGCTTACCTTTCCCAAGGCTGGCGGGTCACGTGCCTGCGGGGCGTCACGTAATTGGCGGGCGTGCCTGGAAAGTCTGATCCGCTTAACCAATCACATGAAAGCTCTCGCCAAGAAACTAGCGGGGAACTTTTTTGCACAAACAGAGCGTCGAAGACTTTAGTTATTTGGTGGTGAAGTCGGGCTAGGGTGCTTGTGCTGCCTCGCTCTCTCACCACCAACTCGATATAAAGTTTATATTTATACGCAGAATATATTACCAGGGTGTATTTATATTTTATGGCGTTACTGTCTGGGGAGGAGCGGGCGTGTTCAGAGTGACCGATTTGGGGTAAAATTTGCACACTAAAACTATAATGTAAATTTAGGTGGAAATCTAAACAATAACAAACTTTTAACAATAGCTCATGGAAAATAAAACTCATTTCGCTATACAAAAAATGGTAAATTTGTTGGAATACTTAATAAGAGACCGCTGTTGAAATCAGTGTGGAAGAATATGGCAAGACTTTGAAACACTGCTTATAACTACGAGTATTGTGTGTACGATGACTTAACTCCTTCAGTACGATGACTTAACTCCTTCAGTACGATGACTTAACTCCTTCAGTACGATGACTTAACTCCTTCAGTACGATGACTTAACTCCTTCAGTACGATGACTTAACTCCTTCAGTACGATGACTTAACTCCTTCAGTACGATGACTTAACCCCTTCAGTACGATGACTTAACTCCTTCAGTACGATGACTTAACTCCTTCAGTACGATGACTTAACTCCTTCAGTACGATGACTTAACTCCTTCAGTACGATGACTTAACTCCTTCAGTACGATGACTTAACCCTTTCAGTACGATGACTTAACTCCTTCAGTACGATGACTTAACTCCTTCAGTACGATGACTTAACTCCTTCAGTACGATGACTTAACTCCTTCAGTACGATGACTTAACTCCTTCAGTACGATGACTTAACTCCTTCAGTACGATGACTTAACCCCTTCAGTACGATGACTTAACTCCTTCAGTACGATGACTTAACCCTTCAGTACGATGACTTAACCCTTCAGTACGATGACTTAACCCTTCAGTACGATGACTTAACTCCTTCAGTACGATGACTTAACCCTTCAGTACGATGACAGTACTGATTCAACGAGTACGATGACACTTAACGAGTACGACTGACCCCTTCTACGATGACTTAGTACGACGTACGATGACTTAACAGTACGATGACTTAACAGTTTGTACGATGACTTAACCCCTGACTTAGTACGATTAACCCCTTCAGTACGATGACTTAACTCCTTCTACGATGACTTAACCCCTTCAGTACGATGACTTAACCCCTTCAGTACGATGACTTAACCCCTTCAGTACGATGACTTAACCCCTTCAGTACGATGACTTAACTCCTTCAGTACGATGACTTAACCCCAGTACATGACTTAACCCCTTCAGTACGATGACTTAACTCCTTCAGTACGATGACTTAACCCCTTCAGTACGATGAGTTTAACCCCTTCAGTACGATGATTTAACCCCTTCAGCACCATGACTTAACCCCTTCAGTACGATGACTTAACCCCTTCAGTACGATGACTTAACTCCTTCAGTACGATGACTTAACTCCTTCAGTACGATGACTTAACCCCTTCAGTACGATGACTTAACTCCTTCAGTACGATGACTTAACCCCTTCAGTACGATTAGTTAGTGTGGGAGTTTCAAATACTAGCGGTGATGGACTAGTTTAATCTATACTTCACCTCTACCATATTACTTCTCTTGGTCGTGTCCTCTTGTGTTCCATGTGGTGTGTCGTCCATGAACTTGTGTTGCTGACAGGTACCATATGTGTTGCCATAAAACACCAGTAACAGGGAACAGATTCTCAAACATTCGTAAGGTTTTTTTTTTCTTCGCAACACAAGATATAAGTTTACACATAACAGGTTGACTTGAACTCAATAACACACAAAACAAATCAGAAAGGGAAAGATCACTAAAACGAGGAAATGGATAACAAAATGAGAGGGGGAGGGGGTGTTGAAAGAGGAAGGTGGTGGGCGAGAGAGGGTGATGGGGGCTAAGAGGAGGGGGTGGGGCTAAGCTGTGGGGGAGGTGGTTGTGGTAAGCGGGTAGTGGGAGAGAGAGGTGGTGGGAGATAAATATAGGTAGTGGAGGAGAGGTGTGTGGAGGAGGAGTGGAGGAGGAGTGGTGGTGGGTAAGCGGGTGGTGGAGGGGACGGGGGTAAGACTAAGAGGACCCAGGAAAGAACAAAAGACCACAAGGCTTTTAAAAGGACCAGGAAACAATAATAACCTTCTCGATCAATATTTACAACAGCTTCGGGGAAAGGAGAGGGGAGGGAAGGGAGAGGGGGAGAGGGGGAAGAGGGGAGATGGCAGTAAATTCTCCTCCCCCTCCCCTTCTACCCAACTCCTCATCCTTCCTTCCTTCCCCCTCCCCTCACCTCTTCAGCTTCCACTCCCCTTCCCCCACTCCCACGCCTCTCTTCCCTCTCTTCCCTCTCTTCCATCCTTAGAAACTCATGTAAGATCAAGAACGTAATAGTTTACGGAAAAAGACCTTATTTTGCGATAAACAATCTCGTAGCGCAATAAATATTCTGGACGTTCAAGACACACACACTACGTTAAACGAATATTTACGATACAACAAGAATTTTGGACTGGTAATACAAGAGTTTGGGCATACAGTACACCTTTTGGACGAGCAGTAAACATTTTGAACGAGCAGTAAACATTTTGGACGTACAGTGAACATTTTGAACGACCAGTAAACATTTTAGAGATGTAGTAAACAAAAGCCTATAGCCGCCACAACATGGTCCCTTCTACCAGGTAACCAACAACCAAGATGGTCAACACAACGCAACATGACCACTCCCATCCTGCAACCAAGAAAACCAACACAACATGGCCACTTCCACCCAACATCCAAGATGGCCAGCACAACATGGCCACTCCGGACAACTTTAAGAATTTCCGGTTCTTCAGTCAGACACGGTGCACGATTTTCTTCTCGAATAATTCTTGTGTGGAAATAATATTGAGTGAACAAGTAGGTGACGCTGGGACAGATGAAAACGGCAATGAAGGGAAGGGGATTGTAAGGAAAGGAAAAGAGAGGGAATGAGGAGAGTGGAAGAGAGGATATAGTGGAAAAGGAGAGTGGGAAAGAGGGAAGGAATAGTGGGAGGAAAGAGGGGAGTTATTTGGGAGGACTGGAAGGGGGGAGGAGATTTTAAGGAGTATGGGGCGAAGGGGAATTGTGAGAGGTGGGAGGGGAAAGGGGGTTGTGGGAGAGCGAGGAAGGGAGGTTGCAGAGGAGGGGGAAAGGTTGTTGGAGGAGAGGGGGGCTTTTAGGGGAGGAAAAGGGAAGTTATGGGAAGTAGGAGGGGAAGAGGGTTGTGGGGGTGGGAGATGTGATAAGAAACGAGGTTGTGGAAAAGACATTGAAAGGTGGTAGGAATTAAACTTCAGTTCACACACACACACACACACACACACACACACAGACAAACACACGAGGGTCACAGATTCACCAACGTGTTACAAATTCGTCCACCAAGCCGGGGTCTTTCGGTGTGGTTTTTGCCGGGTCGCCTTGGTGAAGTTTGGGGGGTCGGAGTGGGTCCGTCCGTCCGTCCGTCCAGGCGGAAACTTTCCTGCCAAATCTGCCGATCCAAGGACGGAAATGGCGCCGGGTCACTTTTCCTTGTTGAGTTTTATATAGGAAAGGAGATATGCTGCAGTTAACGATGTGTGTTCGAGGAAGAGAAAGAAAGACAGAACGATAAAGCAGATAAGAAGTTCTGGGAAACATTATTCAAGGGCCCGTTCACACCAAGGCCGGAATGGACATAATCTGAAGCAAAATGTCCGAACGAGTGAGTCAAGTTAACAACACATATCTCGCACTATATTCAAATTTATCCTAAAGGGAAGACAGTTTGCCTCTCACTGGAAAGACAGCGAGTCGTGTAACAGGTATTGACTAAGCTGAGGAAATCGTAACACCCACCGCAGTGTCACATATCGTCTGTCTCCGGACAATTTGCGCCAAAATATGTCTGGTTCCGACTTTGGTGTGAACGGGCCCTTGGGCAGATTTAAGCCAAGTTACCACAGAAAAATGGCGCAATAAGAAATTTAATCTTCACCAAGAAGGATTTCGAAGACGCGGATGACGACTAACAACTGCGGGGCACAATCAACCTTGTCTACCTCTTGCACGGAGGTGTGTGTGTGTGTGTGTATTTGATGGGTCGATACTCGGAGCCAGAGAAGTTGGTTGGTGTGATTCAGAACCTCTCACCTGTGCAAGATCATCACTTATAGAGCCACAGGTAATGATTTAAGATAATTTTAAGAGCTTAGTCTGTCTTTAGTGATGGTGCTCTATCACTTAACCTGTGGCTAACACAACCACCACTAGACTAAAGTTTTGTCGCCATAAATTTTTCTTTTATAGCGAGACCTTTTCAGTAAACATTTCAAACGACCTTTGATATTTTTCTGGAGGGAATATTTTTTAGTGTTGTTCTCTTAACGTATCGTCTTTAAGCTGAACCTCAGAGCAGATTTGCAGAGAAGTGATCGTCTTTCCTACGTCTCAGTGACTAGACGAGCCAGGTCACCGATGCACGAGGATGATCTTAAAGCCAACTGTCGACGTATACCTCCGAGGGTTAAAATGAGCAACGAAGGAGAAAATCAGTAGAGTGATAATGATTAACGAGGATGGAAATGAGTAACGAGGATGGAAATGAGTAACGAGGATGGAAATGAGTAACGAGGGTGAAAATGAGTAACAAGAAAGAAAAATTATTAGAGGGTAAAAATAAACACCAACTTACACTCACACAGTACAAGTCACTCGACCTAAAATACCTGTTCATTATATCAATACTTCAGGCAATATACTCGTGTGTAAGTGATGCTTCTAGCTTAGAATATAAAACATGGACTAATTTAACACTAACATAATATGACACTATATTTAGGTGTGAGTCAAAACAAACGTTAACCATTCTATTATAACCCTAATTAATATTTTCATTCACTGTCACATACACTTCCCCTCCCCCCCCAAAGCACCTTCACTCTGACGTGCCTAATCTTCACCCTCGTTCATTTTCATATGCATCATATTCACTCTCATGACATCATTTTCACTCTTTATGTCACTTTCACTCTCTTCAGTCCACCATCACCTGCCTCACCCTCACTTCCCTCACCAATAATTCACAGTCTAACAAACCATCCCTTCCACTCCCTTCCTCCACCCCCACCCCCCTATCCCCCACCCGGACCGTAGCTCCAGTCTGGTCTGAAAAATGATAACGAATCTTGACGTCCCATCACTCAAGATATTGGGGAAAGGGGTGGCGGGGGAAAGGGGTGGCGGGGCAAAGGGGTGGCTGGGGTAAAGGGGTGGCTGGGGGAAGGTAAAGTGGTGAAGGGGGAGGGTTGGCAGAGGGAGGGGGTGTTGGGGGGAAGGTAAAGTGGTGGAGGGGGAGGGTTGGCAGAGGGAAGGGGTGGTGGGGGGGGGAAGGGATGTTAGGGGAAGGTAAAGTGGTGACGGGGGAGGGTTGGAGTGGAGGGGGTAGGAGAGTGTTGGAGGGGTAGAGGGGAACTGCTGGAGGGGTTTGAAAAGGGGACATGAAGGTTGGAGAGGGAGACAGGGTCATAAGGGTCACACTCTAACTGCAGCTGAAGTCCCAAGAACCAAGGTGCCAAAAGCGTCCCACAGGCAATATAGGTATTCCAAAACCACAACTGCCTTGAACTAGGAACCTTCCCTCCTAATGTCCTATCGACCAAGGATCCCCGAATCTCAGTGATCACCTCCCTAGACACCAACGCCTGAGATAAAGGACATTGTTAACACCCTCAGGATTAAAGTCTGATTTAACTCGTAATGATATATCTGAAAAATAACATGAAACCTTCGATCACTTTTTTATAATCGATTTGTAAAGTTTTCGTTGTGCCCAGGTGCCTGATGACGTAACAAGAGGAATTACCGCCGGCTAATGGCCTTAATGAAGTCATGTGTCTATCAGTTGACTGTCGTGTATAAATAATTGACTTCATTTTAACAATACATGGTCACTCCAGCTCAGGACGCCCACAGAACATAGAGCCACAGTCAGCAATCCAAAACAATTTATGATACTGTTTTTGTATTTCATCAACAGTACAAATACGAGATGCATGGAGACGGGAGGACATTTGAACAGATATAAAAAAATATCTTCAATAAAACAGAGATAATCTTAACATATGTATATAAAGTTGTTGTAGTTGTTGTTGTTGTTGTTGTTGTTTCCATCAATATGTATCGATAATTAGTTTGGGCAGTTAATGAAAATGTTCATGAAATAGCTAATTATCATTATTAAAAAGGAAAATAATTGTCAACAATATATTTCAGTATTAAAGAATCAAATGACTGATCATACAAACCTTTTGAATGTTAATTTCACGGGTTCGTTCATCAGTGATTACAACAAGCACAGCATCAATCACTGCTTTGTTACTCCATCTCGATTATCACTAGGATTGGCTGTCGACCATCACTCATCCGTCCTTCTGTCCAGCCATAAATATTTCTCACAATTATTTCTTGTCAAAAACTACAATATTAATGAAACCATCCAGGACATTTCTTACTGTGGTCTTCTTCATAAATAAATTCATCTCCAAAAACATAAAACATTTAAAGATCACCAAGACAATAACATCCCGAGTAATGTTTCTTTGGTGGTTTCTTTCTAAATTTGTGTCTGACGTCAGCTGTTCCTTGCTATGACTTACGACTACTGTTTGTGATGTCACACCTGAGGCCAGCATTTGAGACCCGAAGTGAGGATTTTGGTCCAAGAACGCTATAAAATGGGCATTGAAGGCTGTGTGGTCCTGGAGGCTGTGTGGTCCTGGAGGCTGTGTCGTCCTAGAGGTTGTGTGGTCCTGGAGGCTGTGTGGTCCTCGAGGCCGTGTGGTCCTGGAGGCTATGTGGTCCTAGAGGTTGTGGTGTCCTGGAGGCTATGTGGTCCAGGAGGCCGTGTGGACCTGGAAGCCGTGTGGTCCTGGAGGCCGTGTGGTCCTGGAGGCTGTGGTCCAGGTGGACCTGGAAGCCGTGTGGTCCTGGAGGCTGTGTGTGTGAGGCTGTGTGGTCCTGGAGGCCGTGTGGTCCTGGAAGCTGTGTGGTCCTGGAGGCTGTCCTGGAAGCCGTGTGGTCCTGGAGGCTGTGGTCCTGGAGGCTGTGTGGTCCTGGAGGCTGTGTGGTCCTGGAGGCCGTGTGGTCCTGGAGGCCGTGTGGTCCTGAAGGCCCTGGAGTGTGTGGTCCTGGAGGCCGTGTGGTCCTGGAGGCTGTGTGGACCTGGAGGCCGTGTGGTCCTGGAGGCCATGTGGTCCTGGAGGCTGTGTGGACCTGGAGGCTGTGTGGACCTGGAGGCTGGCCAACAATGAAGCTCCAGGTATGATATATTCAGCCTCCTGTTTAGCTCTTGTCTCGTTTATATCTTGGATTTTATCAGAGTTAGCGAGGGAGAGTGGGAAGGAGAGGAGGGGAAGGAAAGGAAAGGGAGATCAGAAGGGAGGGAGAGAAAGGGGTAGAAGGAAGAAGGATGAAGGAGACGATAAAGCGTACAGGAAAGAGAGTTGGAGCATGACAGATGAAAGGGAAATGAAAGATAGAGTGAGAGAAAGATGGGAAGAGAACTGGAAAGGGCAGACGGGAAATGATAGATGAGGTAGTTAGCTATTCTATACATACCGATACTATTTTTTATTTTAAGAAAAATATACTGGGTTTTTTTTAACAAATATAAATACAGAGAAAAATTGCTACATATGAAGGAATTATCAGTTTTGTTTATTTTTATTCTTCCAATATTAGATACGACGTTATATATTATTTACGCCATAAACACACTTTTTGGAAGGTTGTCTGGAGTGCTGAAGTGTGCTGTGGTAGACTATGTTATTCTTATAGACTTTGCTTTCACTCACCACTACTCTCTCTCTCGTTCTCCCTCAACACCCAGCACCATTCCCACTCTTGAAACAGACCTATGTTCCCATCTGCTCGTTCACCAACAATATTCACCAGTACTTCACTCATATTTACTCACCATCCCAAACACTTACCTACCACTACACCCATTAGCTATCTCACTCACCCACGCACCATTTCACACACACACACGTGCTACCCCATACACAACTCACTCACTCACTCACTACACCCACCAACGACACACACACACATACACTCTCTCTCCTCAGCGTGTTTGTAGTGTATCAAACACAACAACACTTTGCAATAGACGGCTCAAATCTACATACACATTCAGACTCGACAAATTAAACTGCAACAGTGGATTGTTTACACTACTTTGAACCCTTTGTTTCGAAACAGGTTCGCTCGTCATCAAGTAATCACCACTCACTTACTGTATAAAGACTGAGCTGTTAACACACTCCTTTACACTTTGATCTGACAGGATATACTAGTATGGAAAGGCTCGCTGTTCACTCCACAGGACCTGGCAGTTCTTTGTTACTGATATCCTCAACACCATACAATGTAAGAATGATTTACGAAGGGTTAATTTCCTTTAATTTAACCCGTGTGTGTTTCTTAAAGGTACAATGACTTTAACCCCTTGAGTACGAGGATTTAATTCCCTTAATGATTTATCCCCCTCAAGAATAATTATTTAACTAGGAAAGGGACCGAGTCGTCGTACTATAGTGGTTAACATATCTTATTCACTTGTGTTAATTTAATGAGCTCACGGGGAATGGCATTGTACTCAAGGGATTGACTCATTGTATACACGAGATTAGCATCGTACTGGAGGAGGATATAATATTGACTCCAGTATATCTTGACATAAAGTACAATATAATTTCACCATGACAACACACAAATTCTATTTTCTAACATTAAATTCCTTAAAACTCATCGAAACTTGAAAACTCTTTTGCCTTAAACAACAGCGCTTCGAATTTTATGGTGGGCGCCAGGCGGGAAAGAATTTAAAAGCAAGGATATTTTTACACCACCAGAGTGATATGTAATCCTGAACTCTGGAGAACAAAACCGATTGATTTATTACCTTTTAGTAAGATGAGTATGAGGTTGGTTTAAAAATCACATTATTAACTCAATCGGTCTATTTGTGGCCCGTCATTCGTCAGCTTTTTATCAATATCAAGAAAAATATCCGAGTTCGGTTTCTCTAATGATGGTTTATGGAAACAATAATGAGGAAAAAACTAGATCCAAGGAAAACAATACAACAATGAATTTTTGTATACTAGATAAGTGGTAAACCGATACACCATAACATCAAAGGATAAATAAAAAAATAATAATAAAAATCCCAACCATCATCATTTGGCTGCGCTGATTAACTATCATAGTCACCTGATCACCCTTTTTTATTAATTCCTAATTGACTGTACACTCGTCAATCTGTCCATCTTTCTGACATCAATTTAAGTACAGAGTTTTTATAATGAACTTTAACATACCTGTTCCCTATGGCTCACTATACTCGCTAAAAATGGGACACCACCAATCACTTCTTCTGAAATCTTGTCTACTCGGTGTTTAGTTTTTCTTCCGTTTCCCGTATGTTTGTTAGCGACAGACACACTCCAAAATCAATTTCCGAAACATAATTTTTTTCCCTTTTTTTATCAGTT